GATTGGGCTCTCGGGCGAGATCCCAATTCGTCAGTCATGACTGGCGTAACGTTTCCGTTCCCTCCTTCAGGGAACAAGGGTTACACAAGTAACCTAAACATTCTCAAACTACCATATCCTGACCAAACACGACGCCATCAAGCAATACGTCACGTCTTGCAAGTTTAAGTGAGTTTTGGTCCAAACCAGCTGTGAGCAGAAAGAGATGCTTCTGTTTTTATGCATAGTGCTGGGAAAATCCGCCCACAATGAAACCTGATTGGTCCACATGCCTGTATATTAAACAGTAAATGTTATTATCGTTAAAAAAACTAAAACCATAAAAAATCATTACTTGACACGAAATAAACATGAAAATATTTCAGCTAGTTGCCATGGCAACATTTCTTATTTTCATTTAGTTTAAGTTGAAGAACTAAAATAACTAATACTATTACTTTAATAAAAACTATACAGACATGTAAAAAAAACAATACAAATTACAAAAACACAACAGAATCACTAAAGCTTTACCTAAAATTAAAATCAAAACAGATCCACAATAATCTAGTAAGAATAATAATACACTACTTTCCAAAAGTTTGGGGCCACTAAGATTTTCAAAAGAAATGAATAAGTTTATTCAGCAAGGTTATTACATACGGTTAACTAAAACTCTAAAACTAAAAGTAAAACCATAAAAAAAAAATTTGTTGCTTTAAATTAAATAAAAGTTAACCGAAAAAAAGTTAACTTATTTTATTGTATTCTCTTTTACTTTAAGCTAAAGTTAAACTCTAAGCTTAGTTTAAATCAAATTAACAAATACTATATAGCTATATTTAAAAACAAAAACTAATAAAAATGACAAAAACAGCAAAAGTACTAAAACTTTAACTAAAATTAAAATGAAAACATATTTTCAAAATATTAATAAAACATAACACCAAAATGTAGCTGAGAATATTATATTCTTAATATTAAAAAAAAAAATTTCATTTAGTAAATTCATATGCTAATTCTGTAAAAATAAATACACTAAAATATAATTTTTTTTATATTTAAATAAATATTTTCGGTGATGAGTAGATCATTCTACAGTGTTTTTCTTCTTATTTCTGTGGTCTCAGATTCCGTGTAGTCCTGATGATGTCCCACAGCTTCACAGACGGTTGATGTATTTTGTGTGTTTCTGGTTGTTTTGAGGTACCTGGGAGACAGTCCTGCGTGCGAGCCGTTGGTGGGTGAGGTCAGGGGACTGCTGCGGGTCACGGGGTGTCGTGGAGGGGTGCGTCCCAAACTGCTGCTGCTGCTGGGAGATGCCTGAGACTTAACAAATGACACAGACGTATCAGCGAGCGGCACACCATAACATTCAGTGACGGAGAGTAAGATCAGCGTGTGAGTACCACTGCAGCAGCCACGCTACAGCTGCTCTTCAGATGGTTGTGCAGGAGTTTAGTGGCTCCGTCCTGGAAGGTTTTGGGCAGAGCGCCTAACAGCATGGTGAACTCTGGGGTGTTCAGCTCAAACAGGGCGATCAAAACCATCTGAGCAGCCTGGAAAACACACAACCAGCACAAATACACTGATGAGACGAGATGTGAGAAAGGAAAAATGACTAAACCCTCAAACACTCACATTGTGCCTGATTAGGTACAAATAAAAACATTTCAAAGTCTTGCAATAACATACGAGTTTGATATGCATCCCAATGGGTCTTAGTGAGGGGCAGACGTCATGCTGAATCTGAAGAGAATGCATAAAGACTGTGAGGGACAAATCTTCAGATCGTATGGTCATAGGTTGCATCTCCACTGTTTTTTGTCCACTGGAAATCTTTGGAAAGAAAGCGTTTTCAATGATTTGTCATTTGAACGATCAGAATCAAGGTAAACTCAATCAGTGCTATCTTAGTATTATTTATATACTATTATAGTTTTTATTAATATTTTGAATTAGCTTTTATTTTATTGGTTTTGAATTAAAAAATTTATTTTCAGTTTTCATTTTAATTTTAGTTTAATGTTAGTAATTTGTTTTTTTAAGTAATACTTTTTATGTTTCATTCATTTTTATTTATTTACAGTTTAAAGTGTATTAATTTTGTTACGTAATTTGTATTAGTATTTATTAGTGTTTGTTTTTAAAACAATACTATTTAGGTTTAATTATTTTTTATTTATTTCTAATTACTATTTCTGTAATTTTGTTGTAATTTTTATTAATTTTTGCTTTTTTAATAACACTATTTGGACTTAATTTATTTTTTACTTATTTGCAGTTGAATTTTTAGTAATTTTGTTATTATTATTTAGTGTTATTTATATACTATTATAGTTTTTATTACAGCTTTTATTTGTATATTTTCATTGTATTATATTTTTTAGTAATGAAAGTATAATTATTTAAAAGTATAATTATAATTATAATTATATATATAATATAATTTAATTTCTTTTATTGATTTTTGTGTGATTTTTATAAGGTTTTTGCTTTTTAAATAATACTATTTAGGTTTAATTTATTTTTATTTATTTAGATTTAGTAATTGTAGCGCTTTTGAAGGTCAAAGGTCATTCAAGTGCTTCAGATAAAGGTGTTAGCGGCACAGAAAAGAGGAAAGACGTGCTGAAACATCATCAACCATCAGAGCAAAACCCTCCACCGGCGGGTCAGACAGCAGCAGTGTTAGACAAGCCCGCCCTGACCTCCACAGACAGTCAGGAGGTCAAAGGTCAAGGGTCGGGGGTCACTACCTGCTTACATCTCTCCTCCAGGTTACTTTCCCCCGGCAGGGAGGCCACAGTGGAGCTCCGGCCCGCCGCCTCCTCATTCAGCCAGATATGAAGCGTCTGAGACACACCACAGCTCACTTTGACAAGCTGAACTACAGCCGGAGCCTCGACATGAGGAAAAACACACTGACCTTCCTGACATCCGAACTCTTCGGTTCTGTGGTCCACGTAATGATTCGAGAGACGGCTAACCGCGTCTCGCTGGAGTTCACGAAGTCTGACGGATCCATCTGTCTGGCCAAAGATTCGATGTACTTCAGGATGGCCACCTTCACCTGCTCACACACACACACACGCGTGTACATACACACGTGCACACACACACACACGCATGCATGCACACACACACACTCTTCGGTTCTGTGGTCCACGTAATGATTCGAGAGACGGCTAACCGCGTCTCGCTGGAGTTCACGAAGTCTGACGGATCCATCTGTCTGGCCAAAGATTCGATGTACTTCAGGATGGCCACCTTCACCTGCTCACACACACACACACGCGTGCACATACACACGTGCACACACACACACACACACACACACACACACACGCATGCACACACACGCACACACGCACACACACGCACACACACACACACGCACACACAGAGTGGTTAATATGACTGTGATGTTTGGGTTATAAAGTAAACAAAAATAAAACAGAGCTACTGTTTCATGCCAAGAATTACAACATAAAACATTATTTAAATGGACCTTTTATTTGTTATCTATATATATATATATTTATACAACAGTTCGTTCTGGTTCTCAAATCTGATTGGTTGAGAACTGTGAGATATTGCACTGGTAGCGCCACAGGAACGCCCTTTCACCGTTTGTATCACTCCGCTTTCAGTATTTCTCACAGCGAGTGTCATGGCGGACACCCAAATCCACTAAAATTTTACATTTCAAAACTCTTAAAACTACGGAATGTACTTGTTTAGACTTCATATATACGGTTTGTTAATAAAGATCAAGTCTATTTGAAAGTTTGCTTCGACATTTTCAGAGATGTGAGCTCCAGGGCGTCAGCAGCCGTTCAGCGCTCATGAACCCGCCGAGAGCAGCCTCACCTCGGCTAGAGCTTCTGGAATTAGCCTCTGGCTCTGATGTCTCTATAGTTGTTAAACATGAGATTAGATATTGCACTGGTAGCGCCACAGGAACGCCCTTTCACCGTTTGTATCACTCCGCTTTCAGTATTTCTCACAGCGAGTGTCATGGCGGACACCCAAATCCACTAAAATTTTACATTTCAAAACTCTTAAAACTACGGAATGTACTTGTTTAGACTTCATATATACGGTTTGTTAATAAAGATCAAGTCTATTTGAAAGTTTGCTTCGACATTTTCAGAGATGTGAGCTCCAGGGCGTCAGCAGCCGTTCAGCGCTCATGAACCCGCCGAGAGCAGCCTCACCTCGGCCAGAGCTTCTGGAATTAGCCTCTGGCTCTGATGTCTCTATAGTTGTTAAACATGAGATATAATTCGTTTTGGGTGAATCTGAAGGGCAGTCTTTGGTCTCATTAATCTATTATTTGTTCCAGAGCTAATAGTTTCGGCTGAAGGCAAAATCTCATCACGTTATATTTTATGTAACTTTAAAGCTGTATATTAGAGCATGGCTTTTATGATGGCTGTTGCTGTTGCTGTTTACTATTCAATAATTAATATTTTATATACATAGTAGTATTTAGTATTGGGAAACAGTGTGTGTGTTCGTGATGGTGATCTTTGTGACATTGTACCGCCATTAGATGGCGACAAGTGACTGTTTTACGAGTCAGCTTTTAAAACTTTTATATTGAAAGAGACTAAAACGGAAGTTATTTTTACTTTTAATAACAGCTTGTAAGACGCAGTTAACAAATGCACTGAGCAGCGCTGTCATCGGAAATCACCTTTAACAGATGAAAGACAGTACGACAAAGATAATGCTTTCCTCAGCGGACATTGAAAGCAATGTTTTATTGTGAATATGAGACTGAGCTGAAGAATGAATGCTGTATCAGATGCAGGTAATCACACTCGCTCAGTCCATCTCTCTCTCACAATACTCTACATAATACAGTGAGCTTTTAATTACGTAATACAATAAGTTTTTAATGAAGTAACTCAACGGTTCCTTCGTTACTAGTTCTAAAGTGACGTTTTCGAATTAGTAATGATCTTGAGCTCAGCTGTTAACCCTCTTAGGGCCAAAGTCGCAAAATTGCGACAAGACGTCATACTTAATCAAATAGACGGTAGTTCCTAATATGGTGTAATAGCTCATGTGTATTCCCTACCACTAGACGGCAGACATGTAGTACTTCGATTCTAGACCAAAATTACATCACCTTCCTATTCAAAGTGTTTGAAGAAATAGCAGAGCAAGTGAGCTTTCGTGTCATTGATGCGGAAGCAGTTCAGTTCAGAGCGTGCGGGTAAGCTGTGAGATTTGTGAGAGAAAATCGCCAAATGGCTAATAAAAAGTTGTACCGTGAGGATGTTTTGCAAATGTTATTCGCCAATTCTGACTGTGAAGGGGAATGTTTGCTTTTTGGAAATGACGATTGGTCGTCTAATAACCGCGCTTCTCCCGGTACATCTTTGCAGCGCAATGGTGCCGCCGTGCAAGGCGAGAGTGTTCACGAAGCACAAACAAGTGATCATTTCGACCCTTTGCCCAACGGGGATGTGGCAGGGCAATATCTATTATTTCCTGAATATTACTGATGAACTGATCAAAAAGTAGGCTACTGTTCACATGCGTTTTACTACTATATAGTACAGTAATATAATAATAATTTAGTACTTTCTCCTGTTTTATTGTTGGTTTCCTCTTTTCTGATCATTTGTAATGAGGATAAAAAGACAAAAAAAAAAAACATGCAAATAAGTTCAAACATCAATTCAATATCTATTATTTCATGAATATTATGACATTCAAGAGGGCCGCCCCCTGATGACGTCATAATATACAAATTAGATGAGAATATTTACACCCCACATAAACTTTCGGTCATGCCCAACATTTTTCTAATTTACAGTAGATCTCTATCTTTAAGCCCTTTCAAGCCACAAACTTTTGAAATCTTGATGTCAAAATCCAGCATTTTTCCAAAAAAACCGTGGCGCCTAAAGGGTTACACTGTCAAACTGAGATCTGAATCTGTGGCGGAAGGAAGTAGTTCCACACAAAAGGGTTTTTAAAGACACTCCGTTGTTGTTTTTCATATATATTTACACTCGTGCCGTCAAACTGTTATATAAATGCAAAGAGCCAGTATCGCTCTCGTACTTGAGTGATATTGCATTTATAATTATAAACATACTGTGTTAGTTAATATTAGTTAATGCATGAACTAACGTTAACTAATGGGACCTTGTTGTAAAGGTTTATGAAAGAAAAGCTCAGCGACTATTGCACGAAATGTATAAACCAGAAATTTAGCAAGGAAGTAGATTTATTATAATTATTAATAATTCAGCTATTTTCCATAATATTATTCAAATAGTATTTTTCTATTATTAGATCAAATATTATTTAAAAAAGGATTTTATCCAAAATGTACAGGGTGGTTTGATGGGATATTAAAAGTTATTTTTGGATGCTGGTTATGAACTCAATTGAAGCAGAGCAGGAAAACATAAAGACCGGACCGACCTTGAGGTTTGGGGTCTGCGTCTGATCGACGATAAACCGCATCAGGATGTTGAACTGCTGATCGTAAGGAAAAGAGTCTCTGTGCAAAGCAGGACAGAAAGAAGAGAATCAACCAAAGGAGCGACACAACGACGACTACAGGACAAAACACAGAAATACAGTTCACTGTTGAATGGTTTCTAGTTCAAACTGAGCTCATTTCAGACCTGGTGACGTCGAGGGCCTGCTGGACTTTGGCCTGAACGGACCCCAGAAGATCGGCCCCCATTTTCTTCAACAGCTGCGTGAGCAGAACAAAGAGCCAGTCCTGAAGATCCTCTCGGTGCAACGTGATGAAGTCCACCAGCGTCTCCAGGAACATGCTGAACACCTGACAAACACACACGCATTAGTGTGGCTTCAGCATCTCTGCTCGGTTCACACAGGAATCTGAACTGTGCTTGCATTGCTGCTTCACGTCAGTCTGTTTCCAGCGCAACAGCACTTTCTGTGCGAACCAGAATAAAATATCAATTAATTAAAATGGAAATAAATACAGTTAAAAATTTAATAAATTTAAAATATGTTAAAAAATCATTTTATTTCAGGTAGCTGCCAAAGCAACATTCCACACTTAATTTTTTTTAAGCTGAAATACTAATTAAAAATTAGCATTTTCAGACCTGGTGACGTCGAGGGCCTGCTGGACTTTGGCCTGAACGGACCCCAGAAGATCGGCCCCCATTTTCTTCAACAGCTGCGTGAGCAGAACAAAGAGCCAGTCCTGAAGATCCTCTCGGTGCAACGTGATGAAGTCCACCAGCGTCTCCAGGAACATGCTGAACACCTGACAAACACACACGCATTAGTGTGGCTTCAGCCTCTCTGCTCGGTTCACACAGGAATCTGAACTGTGCTTGCATTGCTGCTTCACGTCAGTCTGTTTCCAGCGCAACAGCACTTTCTGTGCGAACCAGAATAAAATATTAATTAATTAATTAAAATGGAAATAAATACAGTTAAAAATTAAAAATATGTTAAAAAATCATTTTATTTCAGGTAGCTGCCAAAGCAACATTTCGCACTTTATTTTTTTAAGCTGAAATACTAATTAAAAATTAGCATGAAATAATATTATTTTTTAATTTTATTTTTTAACTTAAATAACATTTTTAACTATATAGACTTTTAAAATACACACACACACACACACACACACACATATATATATATATATAGATAGATAGATAGATAGATCCACAATTCAAGAATATGCTATAAATTGAAGCATATATGTATATATTCAAATATTAAAAACACACACATACATACACATAACAATATATTTAATTTTTAATTATTATATGTATTATATATTTTTAAAATGGTAGGCAATTACTGCATAAGCTTAAAACATCTGAAAATGTCGTCTTTTGTCCAGGCTATGCATCTGGTGTACCGCGCCCTGGAAAAGGAGCCTGTGCCCTCAGTCCTGCCCTCCTCTCTCATCCCTCCATCCAATATTTCAATTCAACTTTACCTTTTATATATGACAAAATATATAAAAATATACAAATATATAACAGAATATAATTGTATTGTGCAAGTAGAACTTTAAATATAACTTTATTAATATAATATTATTTATTTCAGCTAGCTGACAAGGCAATATTTCTCATTAAGTTTAATGTGAACAAAAAATTTATTAAAAACTATATAGACATAAAAAAAAATTTAATTACTAAATTAAAAATAAGCATGAAATAATAATATTTTTATTTAAATTTTTTACATTAAATAAAATGTTAAACTACATAGACTTTTAAAACACACACACACACATATATTACTATTATTATTATTATTTATATTTAAATTCAACTTATTACATAAATTAAAAACATGACAATATATATATATAAATATAATATAATATAATATTTTATAAGTATAACTTTA